AGCTCCATAGTTCCCAATAACAAAGCCGAAACAAACAATTATAGGTGATTTTATTAGTAAAACAGCAAAGAGCTATATTTTTGAAGGAGTCCTGTACGAACTAAATATTACGATATTTGCAAGATTTTTTTCACGCAAAATATAATTTTCTGTTGATGAAAACGGAGATAAAGTATCATTAAAATTGATGATAATTGTTGATGTTAAAATTTGAAATTTCATAATTCTTCTGATTTTCTTTGTGGTAACTGTACCTACTTCCCAACACCTTTGTGACTTCGACTTGATTCCTTAGTTGAAGAAATCACTTCGTGACTTTAGCTTTAGAATTGTTCCAAAGATTTCAAACCTTGGCGAAACATTCACCCCATTGCTACTCTCACTAGAACACAAACGGCATTCCAAATTGCAAAAAACTCGCGCGCACAAACACACACGCACAAACTACCAGCAACGCAAATTAAAAATATAGGCAACAACGGAATCTCAAAGCCCAATTTTGGCTGGATATGGACACATTCAAATACAAGCACTGCCCTTTTAAAGATAAATATTCGCCAAATATGACCAAGCACTAGATCCGCTATGTCATACAGTTATTGAACGAAACGATTTACATAGTTATCTTCAGAAAGGTGTTTTAAAAACGCAACTTACCAGCCGGGTGAATTAAACGTAGCAGCTTAAGCATGCTTAAGAATTAAACGTAGCAGCTTATGCTACTTGGTCATCATAAAGAATTGAAATCAAAATATTGCCCATTGGCAATTTCAGCAAGGATTGCTGAGCTCTTACACACTGGCGAATACAACCCAATTCCAACACTTGGGGCGAACTTTGTCTAACTTTGCTAACCCGCTCTAGCACTAACATGCTTGTGTCTAACTTCGTATGACCTTAACCATTGTACTCGTAAGAAATCCTTGTTTTGTAATGCTCGGAATATTAGAAAACGTCATAGGAAAACCCTCATCGAAAGGAACGCAATAAGCCCAAAAAGGCCTCTGACCGGGAGGACCTAGGGCTCGAGTGCCGATGCCCGCAGGATTTTCGACACTAGATCGAATTCAGCCGCTTCCTAGAGGAGATTTCTAGGGGTCGGATGATCTGATCGGTAGTTTTCAGAGGTTTCTCCGATCAATACCAGGCAAGTGACGTGTTGCGTCAATGAAAGACGCAACAATTTTTTTAAAAAATATATTAATTTTGCTCTCGTGCCTCGCTTGCCTGTCACCACTGAGGTTCCGAGTTCGATTCCCATAGAACCTCTTGCGAAATTCGTTACGACAAAACGAGTTTGCATGCTTCACAGAGACTAGTCCAACCTCTGTGAAGCATCTTAAACCCTACCCCAATACCAATTCCTTCCCAATTCTGGCCCCTGAGTAGTGACGCAGGGGCGCGTACGCGGAGATGCTACTTGGCGGTCCTCTTGAAAACTGACTGCGACGACACTTAACAGACATGACATGAAGTATAAGAATTAATGGAGGATTAGTCCGGAAGCGCAAAGCGTTCAACGTCCCTGGGGGCTTGGAGACGCTTTGCGTCAATGAAAGACGCCACAATTTTTTTTAAAATGCCGGAGCAGTACCTAACAAACGGGCACCCGCCGCGAAAGTTCATCCCTCTTCCTTGTCCTATCTTCACCTTTATTTACACACATTTATGGTATAAAATGTACTGTACATTGGAAAATAAAAGGGAGAAACTATAGTTAACACCCAATGAATTTCTACAGCTTTTACTGCATTTTTTGAGATTCTCATGAAGCGCACCTACAATAGAAGAGGACTAACAACATCCCATGTACAAAGTATTGGAGAGAAAAATTTACAATTCAACAAAAATTCGCTAAAAGGGGAAACTCAAACTGAGCTCAATTCCTACTGCTCTTCTGACAATGCTGTTGTTAAAATTGTGATAAGAAATTAGCGTACTTCACTGAACACATAGGTGCAAAGGGACTCAAATTTCTATTAAAGTTTTTCTACATTACATCTTTTAAACTGTATTTCAAAACTGTTCTTCTGAATATGTAAGGTTTTTAATGTAATGCCTTTAAATGTAAAAGTGAAATCCAATTTCAGAATGTTCACTGACAGAAGAAGTGTACAAAACACAAAATTAGTTGACAAAAATAATATGTTATAACAGATTAATATACAGTTTTAGGAAAGTTTTATGAAATTTCTGAACAAAATAATGATCCATAATATTTGAGATAAGATATGCTCATATTCAACCAAATGCACGTTCGTAGTTTCATTTTGTACATTCAAATTTCTGCACATGCCGAAATATTCAATACCTGCAAACTACAGTTCTAAATCATTGCCTTTTATTCAAATTTGATACAAAGAAGCATTTCAATGAAAAACTATCATATTAATATTAATGCTTATAAAATTTCATTTACGTTTGTTCTGAGAAACAGGATAGCAAAAGTTTTTAAAATAAAATGTATACGTATAATACACATATTTGGTACGAAAATAAACAAGGAAAAAATATGATACTTCGATCTGCATCATATGCTTCTGTTGTGGCACAAATTTTATATTAATCATTATATTTTTAAATCTTAAACTTTCTCCGAGTACTTGAAATCAAAATAAGGAAGAACTTGTTGAAGCATTATTTTAAGAATGTGATACATAAACTTAGGTATTCTGAACATTAATGTTATTGAGATATGTGTGTTCAATATAATTCAATGCACATAATACAATATTAACCTAAAAAACAGCCTCTGGCTTTCAAAATACGGAACATAAGAACAAAATTACAATTAAAATATCTTGGAAATATACCTACGTGGGAGTACCTACAGTACATTTAATAAGAAAACACACTTTACAATAATGAAACACCCGACAATAAATTTTTATTGAAACTGAAATGGTAAAGAAGATTAACTACTCTCAATATAACATTTTATTTAACAATAATAAAAATATATCCATCACACCTACCGTGAATGGTGAGTTCTGAGTCTTTATTCGCTTCATACAGACGAATAGCTTCATCTAATTCCATTTGAGATGAGATGGTACATGGATCCCCTACAAAAACAATGCAATTTATACATCAGATTATTTTGAACCAATCACTTTATGAAAACATTTTCTGAACATCAATAACTGAATATAATTCCATTCTGTTAACTAATATCAATCCAATTCCTACATCTAACATTCACTTTATATCTGATTTAAACTTGTTGATTCACAACAGCTTACCATCATAATGGAACAAAATACTGACACCTCTGAAACACTAAAATGTCTGCCATATCTATCTGCTGTTCTTGCTCATGACAATTTCCCCATTTACAGTTACAACATTCCAAATCATTTGGTACAAAATTAAACACTGCATTAATCAGACTCTAGTCCCTCTTACATAAGTGCCATTATTGCTGTTCATTTAAATAGATTAAAATCTTTATGTACAAACAAATTAATGATTCTATTTCAGAACCACAAAAATTAAAAGTTCAATTCATTCCATTAATTTATGAAACATCAGATTATTTTCGGCAATGATTTCCTTTTTCTCTCATTATCACATACTTCACCACACTTGACACATTAAACATTCATAAGTGGAAAGTAACCCACCTTCTTCATCCACCCATTTCATTGTGAACACTTGATCTTGAGTAAATCGACACATGTCTTTCATTTCCTGGCAGAGTTGTTCCACCGTTATGTGAGGATCAATATAGGTTATCATCACCTCCCTACAAAAGAAAATCAAGATAATTACTATGTCCCTTGCACAAAAATCAGTATGTATATCAGGCAATAAAACAAACATGTAAAAAATAATTCATTCAATCATTCTGGATAGAAGCCCCTACAAGAAGAAAATAAAATTATAAAAAATTTCACCCAACACACTTTAAACAAAAACTCCACAAAAAAGGAAATTAAATTAACCATTAAAAGATTAGTAATCAACAGGTGGTAAAACATGCCTTAATTATGCATCTACAATTTTTTTTAAAGTACGCTGGAGTTAATGAAATGTTCAAAGTGTCCTGTTGTCCATCAGTGTTATCACATAAAAATATGCTGTTAAGAAAATGTTCAAAAATATTTTCAAACAATTCCATCACAAAAAATCAACAGTGTAATACTCACCCATTGTATGCAGTTTTAACCCGTATTTCGGGTATCTCGCTTTCAGCTGACAGCTGAGTAGGCATCCTTGTAAGGTTGTGAATAAATTGTTTCCCTTTTTTCAAACGTTTTCGGTAGAATCTAATCACTACGATGTATAATTGCCACAGGCAATCCAACGTGATATCCCTGCTTCGGAGCGCAAAATGCCTGTTAAAAAAATTAAGCAACTATTAATTAAGAATCGCCACAAAAAAACATCATTAACGAAAGTCATTAAAGGTTCATGTGAATTAATCACGTTCTACCATAATAAACATGTTTAATGACATACCGTTTAAGACAACGTGCCAACAATTCAAAGTACAAGAAGTAAATTATACTAAACTTATAAAATTCTCAACTTCAGAAACTGTATATAGAAAACGTCATTCAAGATATTCTAACCTTAAACGTCAAAGCATTGAGTCACCAAACAAGAACGCACAACACATGCACGAAGACAAAGCCGCAATATAAAACCTATTTAAATGCTGTATCACAGTATACCACACAAAATTTTCGAGAATTTTATACTGTTGCAAAGCAACAACTTTGCGACATCCTGAAAATATCAATAAATGAAAACAACAAACCTCCAGAACACACTACAATCAAACTCACTCCACCGCCGCCCGCAACACGAACCACACGGATGAGCACTGTGGGTGAATCTAAGAGTACACACAAGCAGATATGTTACTTTCCACCAAGAAACCACCGGAAAGATATGTCGTCAAACGTAGTAACAGCAGTCACGTGATTTCGTACAACCTGAATCACTTCAAGCGCCACAGGTGGCAGACTCAAAGTCTATTAGGTTGGCACCACTCCGCACACGTTGCTGCAGGTTCTCCGGTAAGGTTGGTCATATCAGATCGTCGGCAGTACTGAGCAATATAAGAAAGCGTCAGAGAGAATAGAGCGATTCTGTGGGCGGGAGATTTCGTGAAAAGTATATTCTGTTAGCCAAAAACTTTCAGATACGCTTTGCACCATTTCAATAGGCAAAGGAATAAGAGAGCTATGTGACAAGTTTTTCGATAAATTCTTGGCAGCGATTTAAATTGTGTGTTATCACGGGTTTGATATTACACTTAGGTCATTTAAATAGCAACCATTCCACCAGGTGCTTCAGTACAGAGGAAACTCCTTTGAAGGAGTTGCCGGTATTTTTGTAAACTTGAGAAGAACCGTGATAAAATTTCTTTTTGCTCTTCTTTTTTGTTTGATTTGTCGCATTTCCTCGATGATGGCTTAATAACTAGTGGATTTCAAGTGCATCAAATGTGCCATGGCAGCCACAGTCTCAGTTTCAAAGGTATAGATTTCACATTTATTACTTACAGTTATGGCACTGTTGCTTTTACACCAATTATATTACACTTTAATTTTTAGGGATGCTTTGTATTCAATAAAAACAAAGTTTCAAAAAGAAAAACCGGAAAGAAAACAGTGAAACAAGAACTACTGTGTGATGACCCTTGGTATTTAGCTTATAAAGAATCTTGGAATTGGGTGGAAGAAAAGTTTGAGGTATTTGTATACGAAGGATTTGAGAGTTGTTTGTGTGGCTCTTTATAAGAATGTGATGTCAATTAATTATTGACATTTCAGCAGTCAGTAAACTATAATTTAATAGATTCAGTTTTATTATTTGCATGAGTTAAAATATTATTTCTATTGAAAAGCCTTGTAATTATTTAATTGAGTTATCAGTAGATAATTTTAATTTTATGTATTAGATGTTTTCTTTATATTTGTTGAATAAAATCACAATTAGATGTGTTATTGCAAATAAAAACATATTTTAACTTAATGGCTAAACTGAATCAGACTATTAAATTATATTTTACTGACTGCTCAAATGTTAATAATTAATTAATATTTTATTCTTATAAAAAGGATTTTCTATCACAATTTCCATTAATATATATTTGTTTTTGTGTATTCAGTCTCTTCATCATGAGACGTTTTCAAGTGTATTGAAGGATTTGGTGTCATTTGTGGAGAACACTTATAAAGATGAAAATGTGGAACGTGAAATTTCAACAGTGCCAACTGCTGCACTATTAACTGGTAAGAAGTATTTGAGCAAATTATTTGAATATAAAACACATAAAATGGTAGACATTGCCCATTTCAATTGATTAGTTACATATTACTTTCAGTAATATAAAACTCATGGCAAAATTTCACCTTATCTTTTATCTATATTAAAAATCTGATTATTTTTCCTTATGAAAATAAAAAATATTAATTATTATGAAAACATTCAGATAATTTAGTTTACTTAAATACGAAAACTCAAAATTAGAAAATTGCCAACATTATATTCGAGAAACACAGAAGGGTTTCGTATTAGCATGGTCAATAAAAAGTCAGTGGAACTCAAAGCACATACATTTTCATTTCACTTACAATTGCCAAGGGCCTCGATCTTACCTTGAATGGAAAGCAATAATTTGTGTGCTTATTTCATTGTAAGAGGTTTAATCTTTATTCAATGTTGAAATTAGTGTAAGAATTCTATACTATTTATGCAGTGGATGGCAAACAAATTAGGAATTTTGTATACCAAGATCTCATTTTAAATGATTGAGAAGAATGAACCCATGTATCAGTAGTTGAGACTTAAATTAATGGGAAATTTGCAACCTAATACAACATTCAATTCAGTCTGTCTATTTTGTGAGTTAACATGACTACTACATTAGCAATGTGATGCTTTATATTTTGAAAAAATGTTATAATCAATTAAGTAAATAAAATTATTTGTAAGGATTTTTGTTTATTATTGTAAATGTATATATTGTAGGTATGAATTATTATAGTTCTGTTCTTTATTGTATGGAGATTTGTGGGTGCATGACGTTCTTGCTGGACAAATACATTTGTAAAACTTACATTTGCCAGTGTTTTATATATGTACTAAAATGACATCGTGTATTATAGCCAGTTATAGAAAATAAATAATCTAGCATAACATCAACATACATATTATTATGAATCAATCCAGTTTTCAAAGAGGATCAGCGTGTAATTGTGGCTTCAGTTGGTGAAAAAAGTTGTTTAAATATACACTTTTTTGAAATTGGGTGAAAGTGTATATAAAAACAAAATTTTGTCTCAAGTGTGTTGTTAGAATAAGAAATGAAAAGTCAGATGATTCTACATCAGAGAGAGAGAGACTCAAAACTGAAAATGCAAATACCTATAATATAATGTAATTATATAATAAAATAATGTTAAAATTGTTGTGAGGTTCATAAAAAACAATACCTTTGTTTCTTCTAAAAATTTGTTAAAATTGATTTGGAAATCAGGTTTCAATGAAAACTATTATATTCTAAACATAAAGTTTCATTTATACAGGCTATTTTCCTTTTAGAGTGCAAATGGGCTGAAGTTTTGTACATCTATTTTTTTTAACTTCATTTTTGAAGCACAAAACTGGAAATAAATCTTATGTATTCTGATTTTGAGTTTCTGGTAAATTTTTGATTGTTTAATTAAATATTACAGAGCAGTACCACTTTGGAAATGTCAGTTTCTATTATTTAGAAAGAATATGTTGTATTTGTTTCAGGAATAAATATGCCAGATCACGGAGCTTTATTTTCTACCCTTTGTGACTTACTTCATAAACATGTAAGCCCATATATTGCCACCCTCCATGCTCATAAGTGCAAGACAATTCGTCATACTGTGGAACAAATGACATCACAATTCATGAATGCACCAACAGATGATGAAGTATGTAACCTTCTGTAGGCAACTAAAATATATATATTGCAAGTTGAAATGTTCTGAAGCTTGATTTTAAAAAAAGTAATTCAAGTTGAATTTTTAAAAGTTACAAATCATTTATGGGACACTGGGTTTCGGAACAAAATTTCTTCAAATTTTAATGTAAAGCAATAGAGAATTGCACTCAATTTGTTTAAAAAAATTTGTGTGTGAGTAATTTTAGGCTGATGTGGTATAAAAACATTTTCATGTTTCGTTCTTACTTCAGCTTTCCTTTATTGAGGATTTACAATTTAAAAAGATATCAAACAGCGAAGTGTAAGACATTTATTCCAAGTCAGTAGCATGTACTTGTGGTTTCTGCTATATTATAGTTGAAGTTGAAATGTCTATTACATGGAAGTAACTTTTCCTCTTCTTTTTTGCTTTCTTTCTTTTCAGGGTGACAGTTTTTCTGAAGAATCAGATGATGAGAAGCCAATTAAAGTGAAAAAGTCACAATGTAATATGTTAGTTCTTGAATCATGGTATCAGGAACATCAACCGAATATTGTCAATATTTTTGAAAACAGTGAAAAGACTAAAAGCATTGAATTGAAGGAAGGAGGTTTTAGCACAACCTCGCCTATCAGGAAACATTTGACTAATGAAATTACACAAAACAAGGAAAGCAGATCTCCTCGAAAGCAATTGCAATTTAGTTGTGATGACAGGTTGGTTTTATGAAAATTTTGATAAGTTGCTGTGGCTGTAAAATGCTGCTAAAATGTGTCATTAGACATTGAATTCATGTGAATATCAGTGTCCAAATTTGTTGTCCTTCTCTAAATACTCTCTATAACACCTATAAAAATAGTACTTATCAAATAAAATAGCTTCCCGACGTGAAGGACCCTCATTCAAATCCAAATATAGGATGGGATTCTTGTCTGGTGATTTCCATTCAGGACATCTCTGAGGTCAACTCAGCCTCCTTTCTAAGTGAGTACTAGGATTTTTCCTTGGGGTAGAGAAAGCTGGAACGTTGAGCTCACTATATCTCCTCGTGCCAACAGCTACAAATAGGTGGCATCCTACATTTACCTCCCCTTCGGCTTGTGTGCAACTGTACAGGAGTACTTATCTTTCACCAAATAAAATATGGATAAATTAAAAAAATACCTCACCAAAAAAAGAAAGCTTTTTACTAAATAACAAGAAAATAAACACGTAACCTAGCGTATATACATTACAAAGCAAGAACACGAAATCAGGGGACAGAAATAAATATTTTGCTAGACTATCAGAGCATGATAAGTTACTGTAGGTATGGGCAGATCGATGTTAAGAGAAACGAAGAATCAACAATGTTGGATGTTTGTCTCACTGTAAATAATATTAAAGTAATGTTGCACCATTAACATCATACGAGTTAGATTATACTAGTAATTATCGGAATCACTTTCTTGAGTTCTTCAAAAATCATTTTCTTTAAAATCACATTTTTCATAGAACAATAAGATTTTGAATTTTGGTGGTAATCAACCTCTGCCAACAACAACAACAAAAACACCACACATACACTCCTCCCCACTCTGTTTCCTTTTGAAATATTAATTTCTCTAGGGGACTAAAACGATCTGTTGAGGTCTCTTCCCATGATTGGTGAAAATACAGGGTGAGTCACGTAACTTAAGCATCTGCTGCAATTTTTCAATGGTTGAAGTTATTGCAGTTTTCAGAATAGCGTATGAGGGAATGGGGCTAGTTTATACTTATGTTCAATTCCATTTTATAACTTATATTTTACAAGATATTGAGGTAACGTTTATTTCAAATGGGACTATGTTTTTTTAGTCTATCATGAGACTTATTGAGAATAAAAAGAAGAATCTAATAATATGCATATCATATATCAGATCAGCTTTTTTTTCCTTCTTCTTTTGCGATTTCTGTTTAACAGATATTGTAATGCCCTCAGTACACATAAGCAGGGAGAGCGAGACCTTGGGTGGTTGTCTGTTACATTCATAATATCCATTAAATACGAGTCAGAAAGAAATGTTTATCTAACATATGACAATATGTATGTCATTAGATTCGTCTTTTTATGCTCTTTGTGATAGGCAAAAAAATACTTATAGTTCCGGTTGAAAAAACAAAGTTCCTCAAGATCTTGTAAAATACAAGTTAAAACGAAAATAAATACATACATCAATTAGCCCCATTCCCTCAAGCACTTCCATGAAAGTTGCATTTCAATAACTTCAACCGTTCAAAAATTGCAGGATGTGCAATTTGTATATTGAATTTCATTCTTTATAAAACAAGATGCTCCAAATTCCACTCTAAAACTCACGGGTTTTATTGTACTTTTGATTAAATGTATCCTGGCATTTTCTTCTGTAAGTAGAGCACTATTAATACAGAAATGTTGATGAAGTATTTTGCTACAGAAGTATCAGAACATAGTGTGTGTAAGGTAAGAAATTATAGTATAACAGAAGTCCCTTATCTACTATAATAAGGCAGGGGTCTAACTGGTGAATCAAATGTACTATTCAAAATAATTGGTAAGAAACTAAAAACATCTTAATCAGGTATAGTTTTCTGCCAAGATGTCTTTATTTTTTTGGTGTCGTCTTTTGTAAAAATGTGTGAAATTGACACTTGTTGGTTACATACAGTGTGAGTGTTAATGTTTGAAGTACCAAAAAGTGATTAGTACTTATTAAATTATTGTTGTTACAGAAAGGAGGCAGAGACCGAAGGAGGGAATGAACTTCATCTTCAAAAATGTTTAGAGATTTTTAATGAAAGAATTGATTCTGAACATTCAAACACATGCACTAATACAGTGAAATTAAATCAAGAAGCAGTGTTGCTTCACAGGACTCCAGTGAAACAAGAGTTAAGTGTTAAAAAAGCAGAAGATTCTCCAAGACTTGGAAGAACTCCACGGAAATTAACTCTTCAAGATTGTGAAGTTATGAAGAGCCCTAAAATATCATCTAATGAAAATTTGTCAGTTACAGGAACTCCTAAAGATAGGAGAGTGAGAGAATTACAGAACAATGAACTTCGAAGGTCGCCTAGATCTCCCAAACCAATTTTGAGATTAGTTGAAGAATCAAGTGAAGATTCTGACGGCTCCACAAATGTATCTTCCAAAAGAAGAAAAATGACTCCTAAAAAAAAAAATTATTCTAAGTCTACTAAAACGCCAAGGCTTACTAATGCCAAGGAATCACAAAAATGTCCTCTAAGTCCTAAAGTATTTTTAAAGAGAATTGATAATAATTACCAAATTATTAATTCCATCAATAGTGATAGAGTTACAGAATTGGGAAATAAAGACATAAGAACAACTCCAAGGAAAGTTGCAGAATTGATAGAAGAGCTGCGTGATAAAAGAAGCCCTTCTGCTGAGCAGTGGATTTGCGAAGTTGACTTGGATGCTTTGGCAGCAAAAAATAAAATTCCAAAGATTATTTTGAGACAGTTGCATGATTTGAAAGTAAAATTGTCACCACAAAGATCTCCAGTGAAGGGAAGTCCATTACTAGAAGTTAAGAAAGAAACTCAGTGTACTCCTCGAAAAATGTCTAATCAAACTCCAGTTAAAAAAAGCAAAGATACAGAGATGGAAGAAAATAAGAACAAAATTACATCTACAGAAAATTGCCTTTTGTCGGCAAGTTTCCCTCCTTACAGAGATAATCAAAGAAAAAAACTTATTGTTATTATACCAGAATTTGAAAAATTTCCTAGTAAAATTTTACAAGATTTTATCCTTATTCTCAGGTATGTGTAAAAATAACTTTACTGAAATTTTGTATATTCAAGTAATATAAATAGCAAATAACGATATATGCATATTTTATTCCAACTGAACATTTATGTTAATACCATTATCAGTAATTAATGTTTACACAACTCATGGATGGAATGGAATTGTTTACTGACTTCTCACTAATGACTCATTTCCAATCACCTTTTACACACTTTGTCATGTACATACTTGTATAGTGTTTTTAAAATTTTAGTTTTCAAAAGCATGTCTATCAGTTAACACCACTTGCAACTAATCTGCTCAGGATGTTTATTATTATTATTTTTATGCGTTGGTGCTAGAGATTTCTCAATAGTGATTATATTTAAAGCAGAAGAGACTAGAGTATTGTTATTGTGACAATAACTCTGTTGAAAATGTATCAGTTGTATAACTTCTGGGTTTACAAGTGCAAATGTTGGTGATGCCAGCTGCAACTAAGGTTAAATTTTCTTATGAAATGGGTCTGAGAGGAGGTTAGAACATTAACATTCTTTTGTACTGTGTTTCAAGAGGTTTGTTAAAGAGAGTTTTGGAGGAGATGGGTGAAATAGTCATAATGTATGTAAATTATATTATAATTATCTGTAATCTCTGTAATTAGTTCAAGAAAACCTTTGTAACACCTTTTGTAACACCTAGTTTTTATTTATTTTTGATTTTACTGTGTAATTGTTAATGTTTTGCACTCTACTATATTCAGAGACAAATTCTAAACCTATATTTTATCTTCTAGGAGCAGTATTTCAACTCTTCCTATTGTATTAATTATGGGTATAGCCACATCTGTTGCTGCAGTCCATCGTAGTTTGCCATACAGAATGTCTGCTTGCTTAAGCATTAAACCTTTCCAGTCTCCCCCATCTGTTCAACTTCTGAATTCAGTTCTGGAACAGGTAAGGTGAACTTTGAAAAACAAATAAATATATTCAGAGAAATCTGTTTAAGTCAATATTACTGTAAAATCACTGTGCTTGGTTTCACCTTTAAAACAACAGCATTTCAATTGTTTGTTAATACCACGAAAAAAAAAAATATACACACAGCAAGGGGGAGAGGGCATCCCTCCCTTTTTAGTTCTCCAATGACTAATAACAGTTTCCATCAACACAAAAAGATGAATTTTTTGATTATGCTATACTATGTATAAATACAGTCTTCAATACTTTTTCTAGTATGTGTAACTCAAAAACAGTGCATCTTATGTCTTTTAATCTTGGCTTTCTGATCCCAAGCAGAGATTCAGGTGATTTGTCTTAGTTTGTAATGTACAAAATGAGACCACCTATTATTATATTACTAATTTGTAGGTTTAGGTCTTGTACGTGCCTCTGCTTACTGAAAATGGTGGTCTTAAACAAACAGTCTCTGTAAAATAATAAAATAAATAATAAATTTATTAATTATTATAATAAAAATCTAATAAATTTCTATAAAATAAAATTGTATATTAGACATTCCAGTGCATGATTGCACAGAATATCAAAGGATGACATTTCGACACTTTGAAAATTAATAATTTTAGTTTTTATCTTGAGAAACATAATCTTCCATGTCTTCATCATTTTTAGATGTTTTATTAGATATAATGTTGTTGGTTTTTTTATTTATAAAACATTACTATTTATTCAAGATTATACCTTCACTGCTCATGGATGTCACCTTGACATCAACAAGATAGTTTGCCTTGAAGCTGTACCATGTTCTTGTGTGTTTCACTAATTATCCCTGCCCATTATTGTGAAATTTCCTTTGAGCTTTTCCAATTCTTATTGTTTCATTTATCACCAACTTTGATTTCCAATTCCAAGAAAATTGTTGTAGCACATTTTATGATGCTTTTACTAAAAGATCAAATGAAATTGATATATTTAGTAGATAATGACCTTGTAGTTCAAATTACAAATTCTCAACTTCCAAACCTTTTTGCATTATATATTGTTTTTACTTTACTTATAGGGAAAGATATGTAATGCTGCAGAAAATTCATTTCTTGATTTCAATGGAAATACATGTTTTGGGGTCCCCCGCCAAACGAAAAAGTGTTGTTTTGTTTTCAAAATGTCCATCTGCCTGGTGTCTGTAAACACTACTACCACCTAAACCATTCATGGGATTTTTTCCAAATAGAAGAAACCCATGTCCATCTGACTTGAGTCAAGATTTTTAACATTTTAGTTGTTTTCAGGCAATATGTGCAATTTAAAAAAATAGAAAAACAAGATTTTCTCAAAAACGGCTCCAAATTTTACGCCATATTGTTATGTTTTTTGTTTTTACAAAAATTTAATTTTTTCCCTTGTTCCTCACATTGTTAATATTTACATTAGCAGCAATTTGTTTACATTAATGTATTTATCAGTACATGTGCTTTAAATAAATAGTTTCCCAAACATGCAACCCTTTCCCGTGAAAACAAGCTCAAAAGTCCGCTTCTTCAGAAACGCTAAAACCACAAATTTTTTCTTCAAACATTTCGATGGATATGGGTAATTGCACTCTTTAATATGCCATAAAGTTAAATTTGGTGTTTTATAATTTTTATTATACAAATGTAAAGTTTTTTAAAGATCTCTCACTTAATATGCACATTTCCAGCAATTTATAAACACTGTTGCATTTGTGACAGGAAGTGCTTCAGATGACATCATATGAAGGTTCTTAAAATTCAATAGTTTTCTGTTAAAAGAGGTTCAAATTTCCTATTTACAGCAGAACTAAAATGCCATTTTGAATGAAATTCTACACTTCTTTAATATTTTTAAAGAAATAATTCGATTGTACAATTAAGAAGCGAAAAATTAAGAAAATGTTTAAAAAATGTACTTTAGACAGTGATAGATGGTAGCTGGCAAGAGTATGTGGCAAGTCCGAATAGTTAGCCGAGACCAAGAGAAATAGGAAACTAATACACGAAAGTCTGTGTCATTCTGTTTCCTAATGCTATGACAGCAATTAGTCCAACAATGAAGATAACAATGTTGGATGAAACATTAGTGTACCATTGTGAAAAAATGAAGTTTTGGAAGATGGAAACATACATTTCATACTTCGTCAATCAAATTATAAGTATTAAAGTATGACTAATTTTGCCTCTTGAAGGTATTTCATATTTGGTTCAGTTGTTTGTATTTTTTCTTTTCAAATGTGTTAGCTCTTCCAAGCTGTGATATTTGAATTTATTACATTCGCAAGTTTCTAAAAATACATATCACTGCATCTTAGTTCTGCTGAAATCCTTCAGCTCGTGCTAATTTTGAATCATACACATTAGTTAAAAATCAGACGAAAATTCTCTACAGTAGGCAACAAAATAAGAGGGAGGAGAGTGGAGCTCGTTTTATATTATAATCTGTGAGGTACGTAAGGTTCTTTTTCAGTAGGGGATGGGGGTAATGATGTCTAAGCCTCTGGGGATCCATGGCCTCTCCACTTCCCTTAAAAAAAGTTTAGTGTTTTCGTTGATCTTCCTTTATTTGGCGAATTTGATTTAAATATTTATTTATGTTTGAATTATGCAATTATTTAAACAATAATATTGTGTAGTATCTTATATACAGTTCATAAATAATATATGATAACAAGCACTTTACCATACTGTATATACCGGAGGAGGGGAAAACAGACTTTTGGTATGTAATGTTTTTAACAAAAAGCTATGATTCCCCCCCCCCCTCCCCCCCTTTAAGATCAGCTGGATCTGCCCCTGGTCTAAGCAGAGTATTTTATTATAATCTTTATTGAAATCAACCCCCAAGATGGCTACAACTCCATCCATTTTAGTTATTTAGGGTTTGTGTGGTAAATGTGAATACAATCGAAAAATAATAGAAAGGAAAGAAGGTACCATAATGTTTTCAAAAATATTTTGTGTTTGCATGTTTCATCGCAACAATACAAAAATTGTTGGATGGTTAATTTGTTACTTCTGATATTGCATAACCTTTAATCAAGTTTTCACAGAGATGTGTGTTTATTATTTTTCTTCTTTATTTTACCTTACAGATTCTTTTCTCCTCAGAATTCCCTTTTCGTCTAGGTAATAAGACATTTTGTTTTTTAATGGATGCATTTTTGTATTATGATTTATCTGTCAAAGGATTTGTTCAAGCAATTAAGGTGAGTCTCACACAGCATTTATTTATTGTCATTGTTCATGATTAATTCAATTTTCTCTCAAAATTAAAATCACCTTTTATATTTGTGTTCAGTTTTGTATGATGGAGCATTTTTGTGGACAAAATTGGAAAGAATTATGTTGTAAACTAGACTCCTTAAGAGAAAAAAAGATAAATTCCAAAGATCTTCCATCCTTGAGAAGTTTACCTTCTATGTTGCGTTACATGGATAATTTGGAAGAGGAAGATAAACAAAAATTGATGAATGATGATCAGCATTTACATGTAAGTTACTCTGAGAGTATTTCACAAAAACCATATCAATATTAGCATCATTTTGAATGTCTTTGACCTTTCTTTTACATAGCTGCAATAAGCAAGATATAATGTAATATTTTGAACCGTGTGTGATAGTTTCTAGATATCATAATGGAGGGTGTGGATTTATGTTGCAGAAAACAATCCTGAAGCTTTTGAATCATCTTCTGAAAAAAGTGCACTTGTTTCACATAGGTTTGAAGTGCCTTAATATTATGGTTGCAGATCTCCCGAAAAAACCTCTAGGAACTCATGTAAGGAATGATATGAAGTAGAATTACATGTTTTGTTAAACATAAGAAGGGAAGAGAGAGAGAAAAAAAAAGATTTTTAATTATTGGTGAATAATTGTATTTAATGACTTTTCCATTTCTTTGTTCAAATGTAAAAAGTATCAATATTTTTCTTCGGGATATATTTACATTAGTGAACTCTTTCAGGTTCGTGAACTATATGGTATGGCTGCTTCATCTCCAATCACAAGAACTGCAGAATACAAAGAATGTTTTCAAATTCTTAAATTCCTTTCCAGAGATGAACTTACAATGAAACTGAATACAATTATTTCTATTCTGGATATAAATAAAGAGGAGCCACAAGTTAGCTCATTGGTAGAAATATTTCGTGATTATCAGAAGAAGATACAAGAGGCAGGAATGGAAGTTGTTGGTTCACAAAATTCTCCAACAAAAATGCTGGTTCCAGAGGGTAAAATGAGCAGACAAGCATTCAAAGAAGTGAGTGTTAATCTGAACTGAAAAACTGAAGAATAAAAATTAAATCTAGGAATTTCAGGTTTAACTTCAGAAAAATGAAACCATTGCTTCACTTTTTAAAATAAATTTAAATTATGTGGAAATTATACATATGGTAGTGAACCCACGAATTTTAGAAATAAAATGGATATTTTCAATTTTATTGATGAATATTGTTTGTGGTATATTACTGGTTCTTGATGGTTAGCGATTAGTAAATCTGTCCACAGTACATAGCTGTGATCCAAAAACTTTTCAGGTTTTATAAAATAGACAGGATGATTTTTTAATGTCAACAAATACCTTAGTTCTCAGTCAACAACCAAAGAGGCCCAGAGTTCTCAACATATAGTTTTGCAAGAAAAAGGAAAAATATCTTTTGATAACATACCTTGTTTTATATAAAGTTGTTTAATATTTTATGATTGTAACAATTGTGATTAATTTCATGATGTTTGAAATTTGTAGTACATAACACAACAAATATGATGATAAAAATTTGTGATGCTAACAATAATTTCACTCTTGGAGACTTGCTCTTGTAAATCTTATGCAAGATTTTCTTAGTTGACTTCAAGTACTCAAAACTATTTCAAGGTCATTGTTTGATAAGAAAACTTAATATTTTTTCTCCGTAAGCTCATAATTTCAAGTCCAAAATTGTAACATTGAAACCAGCCGTGCTGTAAGAGGTAATTAGTTATAGTTACAACCATTGTTTATTATACATATTTTCAAAAAAATTGCAGAAATTCATGTATATGTATACACACACACACAAAGTAGTGTTACAGTTGCAGTACAATTAACATTTTCCTCTGTACACTTTCAGGATTCTTATCTTAATATTCAAAAAATATCTATACATCATCATACATTTGTGGGATAAACATTCTATCTCATACAATTTTTACTATTTCTATGTATTTTGAATGTATTAGATGGAAATATTGATCTTGGAAATCATCTGACATGTCATTGTTTCAACTAATACACTAATCCTTATTTTCCTCTAGAAATTATTGCAGCTGTCAAAAAAGGACCAGCCACAATCTCAATTTGAAAAGATGCGTGAAGAATTTGTGGATTACTTGTCATCCAAATTGTTCCCAGAGATGTTAAAGCCTCCTGCTTCATACCCATTGATGGAAATTATCATGTTTGATAACACAGCGAGTGTGAAAACACATATTGTTGGTGCACCACGCGCTGCTATTCACACTGCTCTAAACGATCCTCAATTTTACCTTGAGGTAAGTGCTTCACAAAGATTACCTTTGAAATGAATTTCATCTTCTTCATGGACTTCATGCACTTCAACAATTCAACATCTCTGTTACACTTAAAAATATTGTTCTCAAGTGTAAATTCTCTCAGGTTTGATGATCTGCGCAAGGGGGATCCTAAGCAGGGCAGGACTTAAACATACTAAGCAAGTTCTTGCTAGATATAGTCTTGCAATAATGTTTTAAGTGCAATTTTATATTTGTTTATAAAAATTTAAATCATGTTTATGTTAATTATTACTTTCTCGCACTTCATAAAAAGTGAAATTTATGTAATAGTGCTCTGGAAAATGGCAAATGTTCAGCAGAAAAACTATTATTGCTGGTAATAAAAAAGTGGAAATCCTGTTCCTATAAGTAGTAAATTACTTCCTCTAACACTTTGTGTAGCCAGAATCAATTTTTTGTGGGTCGTTAATACTGAAAAAATCGATTGAAGGCAAAACTCTCTGTCCGCAAAGGAGGACAAGAGACAATGCTAGCGCATAAACCACTCAACTAAATTTCTTCCAGATATTACCAGATTGATCTGAACGAACTCAAGTCTTTGGGAGTTTCAAACGGATATTTTGATTTTTGAGAGTATTTTACATGATACATCTCAACTTTTTTTAAATATTCTCCAAAATGGCTCCAAATATTGTGATTTAATTTTGTCCTTGGCTAGCGTAAATAACACTTCAGACAATGGTGCAGGTCTCATGTTTGTTACAATCTCTGATTTTTCAAAACTTGCAAACATACAATTTTTTGAGGGTATCTTGCTACTTCTACTCTCTATTGAAATTAGAGAATTTTTTTTCTTATTGAAATCTGTTCTTTAAAGATAGATCTTGAAATAAGGTCATGTTCAATTTTCTAAAAATATTAGTAGTTTTCGTATGATTTTGCAAGAAATGTAGGCCCTTTAACAATTTTATCCTCTCTCAAAAATGGGTCAAAATTTTACCATGGATAGAGAGAATGCTTAAAAGAATGACAACAGTTGTTTTTGTTGAACACTCTGAATTTTCAAAAATTGCAAATTCATAGTTAATGTGAGAATGTATGCACTGTTGCAGCCCCACTGGTTTGTATCGCAAAGGCTACAGTCCATTTTCATCATTATATTCAGTAATTATTATATTTGAATATTTATTTATTTAAAAAAATTAACAGGTGATACCCTTTACATTAACTACAAGCTTACAAATTTCACATATTCAGAACTAATTGAGATGTCTATTCAAAACACTTTGAAAGGTATTATTATTCATCGTCTCATTAGTGCAATAGTTACAGAAGTGTCAACTAAAAAGGATGTCATTCTCCTTAAGATTCGCTGAGGTTCTCTAAATGGTATGCAAGAAAGAATGTCAGCACAGTCTATTCTATCCAACAAAATTCTCGTAGGAAAAAAACACACTTTCTTTTACAATGAAGATTATTAATTTAGATCGTAGGAGAATGACATCATAGCCATGATTGTCTGGGGCCATTGTCAGGCCAATTCTATGGGCAAAAACCTGTAGAAACCTGTGTTGAACTTTTTCAATGGCTGATATACTCTATTTTGTGTATGGGTTTCAAATAGGTGTTGCATATTCAAGAATTGGTCTAACAAGTGTTCGATAGTGAACCAAAAGGGTCACAGCATATCAAACCTGCATAGAGTTCCGCAAGACCATACCTCATAATTTTCAGTGCCTTAGAAATAACACCCGAGTACGATTCCCAAAATTCAGCTTACCATCAAATGTGACACCCAGATCACTTTTACAATCAACTCTGCAATTGTATGTACTACAATATGTTTGAGGGTTTTCTTCTGCAATTGGGATAACTGCTTTTAACATATAGTGAGAGGCTGCTCTAGCTCTGTAGCTTGATAAAAATTCTGATATCCTAATTTGCTTTGTCTTGAAGAAAATCATACTTCTCTGATGCTAAACAAAAGAATCATTTGATCTCACTGCAAGTTGGACCTTTACAGACCACCAGATATTGAAATACTGTATTTACCCAAAATAAGAGCAGGTTTTTTCTAAATATATCGGTTGAAAAATGCTGAGTTGTCTTATATTTGCAGTTTAATCCTAGTCAGTTAGGGTTTAAGTTTTTACATTACCATTCCCTAGCTTCATTACATAGCTCATAAATGTTGCCTTAACAATAAACTGCGAAGACTAAAATTATCACACTTATCTCCCATACATATTCTCGGCATCCTCCGTGAATTGACCGGGCAATTCAGACCGGTGTTTTTGAATTGGCCAGTAAAGAGGGAATTTCAAGCGAATGTCATTGTATGAAATGAAACTTAACGTGAGAATGAATGCAGAGGTTTTGTTACACGATCAGGGTTCGACAAGGCTGTGTAGAATCTTGGTTCGATGCCTTGGGAGTGCCAATCTGCGTTTTGAACAGTTAAAGAAACAGAGAACTAGTGTGTGTCAGTTAGAAATTCTTATGACTTGGAAGGGAATGTTCTTATGGCTCTCACAAAAGACTAAGAACAATGCAAATTCAATAAATGATACTTTCAGAGGGGCCTAAAAGGTCAGAAGGTAGCATTGAAGTAGGATCAAATAGAAAGAAACATTGATATATGTGAAAGTGATGAGAATAGAGAGAAAAGCCATGTTTATGAGGATTTTATGGAACAAGGAAATGATAGTTTCGCAATAAGTCTTAGCATTCTCATCAAGGCAATTTTTTAATCAATAAGACAATTTGCGATTCCTCTTCAAAATTTGGAGTTTGTCTTGTATTCAGAGTCATCTTATATTGGAGTAAATAAGGTATCCATGGTTAGGGTCTTGTAATTGATACCTTAGCAAATTGATCATTATTTTAAAAGTTTGTTCTGGTATAATTTGTTAGCATCAATATTGAATAATGATAGGAAAATGTACTTGCTTGGTGATGTTTTTGTTTAACTTCAGTGAATTGATATTTCTTCTCTTTCAGTGTACATGTTGCCAACAGACTGAGAAGGACAGCATTTTAGCGTCTATGCCAGACTTGTGCATTGCATACAAACTTTATCAAGAATGTGGACGATTAATCAATTTGTATGACTGGTTGCAAGCATTCTCTGCGATTGTTGACCCCCAAGATGAAGAAGAAGACGAAGATAAGCAACAAGAGATCAAACCTCAAATTCAGTATCCTTTTTATTATTATTATTATTATTATTATTATTATTATTATTATTATTATTATTATTATTATTATTGTTGTTGTTGTTGTTGTTGTTGTTTTTGTTGTTGTTGCTTTTTTTTATCAAAAAGATAAAATTAGGTTGAATTTTTTATAAATTGTATATAATTATATTAATTATATAATAAAAATAATTAATATTTTCCTTCAGGTTAAAAACCCATTTGCTCCCAATTATTTTATCATCTCTCTAGTAATATTCACAACTTCCCTGGTTTTGTTATCTTTAATGTTTTTCAGTTCTTACTTAATTGCAATTTTCAACTTATTTGTGCATTCTGAATCCATTGCTTGTTTGTAATTTTTTGGATCCTTTTCACAAGTCATGTTGGCAGAATATCTCATTACTGATTTCCTTTTCGCTGAAGATCTTCACACATTCAGCTCGTTATCTGTAGTTGTAGATGCATAACATCTGCCTAGAATGAATCAAATCACATCTTCTAGATTCTATATTTTTTTCACACTTTTCTTCATTCTTTTCACACTTCATATAAACATATAAAATTGGTCATAAACAGAGGTATTAGTTACATGAATGACAAAGATCCTGTGAAAGTTAATATTAAAGATGCATTATTTGTTCCAGATATAGAAAGTAACCTGCTATCAATACTGAGTTTACTAAAAAAAAAAAAGATTGTATTGGACATGGACAGAGTGAGATATGGGGAATAAACAATCTAATTACAGTGAGATTATTTTAAGATGATTTTGTTCTTCAAATAGAAAGGAATAAAAATATTACATTAAGAGACCCAATAGTTGACACAACTTTTTTTAAGAAGTACAATATTTTTTTCTTAAATCTGGACATCAAAAAAAGAGACCTTTTTTTTGTTCCTGAAAATTGATTATTTGTGCAGTTTTACTTATATTAAATTATGGAATTTCTGTGCTCTTCGCAAACTATAATTAGTTGTTGCTCCGAATGAACGTAATGCAAAATTTCCTGTTTTGATTCATTTAATACTTTGGAAAGTGTATTTTATTTTTATATAAATACATTTTTCAGAAAATTAACGTTTCATTTAAAAAATTGTAATTATTTTTAAAAGATGGAAATTTGTCTATGAACTCAATCAGATAAAAAATTGAACAAAATATAGGTGTTTATTGTACAATTTTCTACAAAAGACAAGAAAAAATTGGGCACTGCAAATATACAGTTCTAAATTCTCAATTTCAAATGTGAGGGTGTGCTCTCCCTGGCCATGCACAAACAAATTGTGTTTGGATAGGTTTTGTTCCAAGTGCTGAAGAACTATAAAAAGAATGTCTGTCTGCCCGATGAGGATCAAGAAATATTAGTATCTCACATTCACTCTGCTCCTAGAAGAGATGGGTGACAGCAAATTGAATTCAACTCTGCTTTTTCAAGCTCTTAGCGAAGCTTCATTGTTGACCGTGTCTTTTATTGTCAACTAGTGGAATCTGGCAGGCGCTCAGCCATTCATCTCCCTCTCTCGCAGTGTCTGTCTCTGTCTCTGTCCATCTCTGACTCTCTGAATGTCTTTCATTTGCTGGTGATTGAATCAAAATGAAACAATCATTGATTTGTTCATTGTTCATTTTTTCTACTTCAGATACTACTTCTTTTTCGTAACGTGTTCTATTAGTACACGGAATATCAAAACGGAGAACGAAAATTAATATTTTTGTAAATTTGTCACGTAATGGGGGGGTATTTTAAACTTGCTCAATCGAGGCTCCTTTTTGTTTCCCGTCTATCTCCAAAAGTATTCGTCTGATTGAAGTCTAGTTTGCACCATTCAATTTTTCGAAACGTGTTCTATTAGTGCACGGAATATCAAAACTACTACTACTTTAAATGTACATTTAAAATACGTCAACCTCTGTCACTCCACTCTTTCATACCACCTTTTCAATAATTTCAATAACTCTCTTGCTCTAGTAATGCCCCTAATATCATTTCTTCTTGCAACAATATTAATATAATCATTGTGAACACTTTTTTTTCTTTTCTTTTCCTTGTACTATTCTTCCTCTTTTCTGACATTTACCTCATTATTTTCAATATTTAGGTTCATCTTTTACAATGTCTTCTTCATAAAGTTGTTTTGCCTTGATTAAAATTCCAATTTTCATTCTTCATAATTGTGCCTACAATTGCCCATAATTGTGTCAGTTGCTTGATTTCTTAATATGAAACTCTTTCAGCCGATTTAATTCTGTGTCATTAATCACACAACCATTTTCTGCTATCAAATTCTTCTGATCAGGTGTGGTATAAATTAATACATATTTATAAAAGGACAAGATGACTTTTATTTCAATACGTTTACCAGTATTCTTTTTGATGACTTTTATAGCAATCCCCTAGTTACCAGTCCATGGTTTATAACTTTTGAACATAAACAATTAGTCCAATTATTCTTTGCACGATATCCTATGTGATTTTTTAGTAACTTTGTAAGGGAGTATGCCATGAAGGCTACCAGTATGAATTTATACAGACCTCATATGGAAATTTATCAAATCCTTGACAGAAAATGCCAACTGAGGTATATTGGAATTTTAGGTACTTAATTTTGCCTATGTTGCAGTTAAGATGAATGAAAGCAAATGCCACATAAGAATATCAAGTAGTCAAATCTGTCACCAGGTGGTCACAAAGAACCCAGATAACCGGGCCTTTCTCTTAGCTATACATTTTACTGTAATAAAATATTTTTTAGTGTTAATATTAAGTACATCAACTATAATAAATTAATTTTAATTAAATATTAATTACATGTGTGAACATCTTTATATTCAAAATGATATACAGGTATATGAAGCTAAATGTATGGGTGAATTTTTAACAATACAGAAGATTTAGTTTGAACTTTATGTCAATAATTTGCTTGTGCAAACAAAATTTTTTTTTGCAATGAATAGCCAAGATTTTCTCTGAAATGTGACTGCATGTGTTGATGTGTGTTCATGTAGTATATGTACATATCTACGGTTTTCCTTAACATGTCTAGAGCACGTTTCACCAGAGCAGTAGCAGAGCTTCAGTTCATGGGTTTCCTGAAAACGTCTTCACGAAAAATTGATCATGTTACAAAATTGTATTTTGATGGAGGCTTTTAAATTTGTAGCCCCACTGTTGGTATGTCTTCAACTTATTAAGAAATTATTATTCATAGGAAAAATTTCAATATCATGGTGTATATTTTGATTATTTTTTATAATTACATACATTAGCATTTTAGATATATTGTATCCTGAGTGTATGACTATTTTTGATAAATATTGTACTTTAAAGAGAACAAGAGAATGGAAAAAACTGTCAATGAAAGACAATGTTAAGTTCATGTATCACAGTAATAAAAGACCATATTGTATCTTGTAAATTCATGTTGAATTAATTTTATTTTATTTCAAAATAAAATAACTCCATTTTCCTACTTTCATTGCTATTTGAACAGGTTTATAAATTGCTTTCAAGGGAAGAATCTGTAGTAGAATACTGATGTTACATTTTGCACCCTGAATTATTATACAATCTTACATAAGGAACAGAATTTGTCGAGTATTTGTTAGATAGGAAAACTGCTTTCGATAAAGGAAATTGAGTTTTCTTGGAGCTAAAAATTTGTAAATGGTGCATTCGTTGGTGTTGGACAGAAGGGCCACAGTGATAAATTATCAATGTTTCATCATCAACCAGTGTTACATACTGGAAGAGGCCAGAATCTGTAAAACATTAAGACTTACAGTTTCCATAATGTTACCATTAGAATAAAGAAAAATGAATACAATTTAAGGTATCATTAGCAGATGCTGAAGCATTGCTAGCGCTGTTTGTAAGCCAATGACCTCAATATTAATTTCAACTATGAGGCAACTACATTTCACATTCATCAATATTAAATATATAACAGAAATCTTGAATTAAACAGTGATTTAATCGTGTTTTTTATTGAATAATTTTATTTTTAATAAATTGTGTTGTTTCCTTATTTTTCACTTCATTATTCAATCTTCCCATATTCCACTTCTTCCAGTGAAATTCTCAGAATAGACAGTAAACTAAAAAATAAATATGTCTGGTTTGGATAAATTTCCAGATTGTTTATTAAAAACTTGTGCACTTGTTTTTATTCACCTGTTAGCTCACATTTTCAATGCTTGTGCACAGGATTATTTCCAGATATTTTCAAAAGAGCAAAAATAATGTCACTTAAAAAACGAGACAACAAAGAAAGAAATCAAAAATTATCGGCAAATTTCTCGAATGTCAGCTCTCTCAAAAATTCAATTTTTCATTACTTATATACATAGTGGGAAAATTGCTGCAAAATCGTTTAAAACTTAATTCGCGCTGAAATATTAAAAACTAGGAACTTGAAATTATACGTAAGGAATCAATGTTATATTTTGAGGCAAGTTTCATAAATCTTAGAAACCGAAGATATTCAATGTTAAAATTTGGAATTTGTAACATATATTACGCGACTTCGACGCGAATTTATCAATGCCAGCTGAAAATTGGTTTTGAGTACGCTCACAAATCGTATTTAAAAACGCCCATTAATCTTTGAACATAAAAGAACTTGCTTTCTTCACTTCGGTAAGTTAACGCTTGCACGCACAGATGAACCAACGTGCACTGCTTTCAAACAGATCGATCGATCCATTGATAACTAGTGATTCTGGACGTGTCAACTGCTAAGGTGATTAGTCCCGTAAGTGTAATGCATCTTTTGTTCTCCAGAGGTGGCTGTGATCTTGCCTCACTGGATCACGAGATCCGTCGCCGACCTACTGTCAACTAACGGTGTTTTCCCAGACCAGGTATCCCCAATCAGCAGGGCACCGCCCCAGCCAGTACAAGCTCCCGACATTTGCGGTAGTGTGCGTGTAAGGGGTAGGATAGGACATGGAAGAGGAAGGCCCGTTTGGTAGAGTACTGCTCCGGCATTCGCCTCGTGTTGATCGGAGAAACCATGGAAAATACCAATCAGAGCAGCCGGCAGCTAGAATTCTCCTCCAGATTGCAACAGAACTGGACTTAGCTGTCTAGCAAATGTCAAAATCCCGCATCCGTCGAGACTCTAACCCCAAAACCTCCTGGTCAGAGGGTTTCACTTTAGTGATACAGTCGATACCCTGAGCCCTCTCTTCTGGTCGACCAAATGACGGCAGATAAAGATTTGTTCTGTTCTTTTTTGATATGTGTTATAATTTAGGTTTATTCCGTAAAATGTGATGACAGTAAGCTAGGGCCCACCTCCTTTCATTTCAAGAAAAATCACGAAATTCGTTATAGTAAAAAGCTTAGACATCTTTCTGAACGAAAATCTTTTGTTTTAAAAATATAAATTATGTTATTTGTCGAATACAACAATAACATGAAATAAATTATTGTAACAAGTCTCGCTGTACACGATCTTCAGTGAAACGTCCTCTTGGATTTAATATATTACTCTTACAGGTGGTCACCTTTTTTTTTAACAAACATGTTTGTTTCTAACTTTAACATTAGAAGTTAATGCAGTTATTGAACTTCAAAATGTTTTATTTTACTCTAATACTAAATTAAATTGATTACTTCAAAAGTGAATTATATATCTCTTATCAATATATACTTTATTTGCTTATAGTACAGGAAATGGAAATTAATACCGGAAATGTTGGTCTAATAACTGTCTGCCTATTCTGAACCAGGTATCGAGTCACCCCGTCACGGGGGAATTATGCTCAGCTTCAATTCTCATGCGCGGATGCCAATGAGATCAGATGGTAATTTATACATTTCAGACCACAATAACCGGTAAAAAGCATTCGGGTAAAACGAGTGTGCGATTCCGTCACTCGCGGCTCTAACTTCCACTCGATCACTTTCCGTGCACCAACCGAGACGTATGAAATGTCACTACACGCGTCTCTTGTCTCCTGATGGAGAACTGGTAATTTGTTTTCGGATCCGGCGAAAAGATTCAAATAAATTTCCAAAAACTTGATTTTTCGTGTTTTGGCGCTACAATCTTTGTGATAATGCCCAGAATTAAACCAACTCCTCCTATATCGATCTATGTAGGGGGGCGTTGATTAAACACCAGTACTCAAAGGCATTTTGAACTTAATACTCCATAATGTTCTTTCACGACGTTGGCAACACTGATGTTGACATCGTTAAGTGAACAATTGAGTTATTACTCGCGCAACTTTTCTTGAACGATGACCTTGATCCCCCTCCCTTGTGCAATAAACAGTTGAAGGCAAAAGCTCGCAGCGGGCACTGATGACAACCTTTCAAGCATTCAAACTTCGTTGGCGCGAAACAGAAGCTAGTCAAAGCCAGTTGCTTTCATAGTGCAGAACCCCTGCTCAGGTTTATTGTCAATATCGAAAGAAATGGCTGAGTCAAGTCCAGGTCATTCAAGGGAGTCACCTAAAACTCCCGAAAAAGTTAAGCACAAGATGCAGTTTTGACTTTTATTTCATAAACGTTGGCATTACTTAAAATACTCTAGTGGCCGACTTTGTAACTAATATCCCCACTCCACCCGAAATCGTCAATCCATCGTTCAAGAAATGTTGCCCGAGTAATACCAAGTAAATCGCTCTGCAGTTTGATATGAATTTATATTCGAATTATCGTATTTTTAATGATAAACTTTCGAAAACCTACCCACAGTGTTGCCTCGGAACCAATTAAACTTGAAGAATTTCCAGTGAATGTGGAGAAAACAAAACTGTGAGTAATGCTAGAGAATAAACGAATGTTCTTATCTTCGACTTCGCTCATTTTCGTTCTTACGTAAATGTGCAAATACCGCTTTTCAAATTAATGTGACCCACAACTTATTCTTATTAAATTTAACTACCACCTTATTCACATAAACATACAAAACAGTCGCCTTTTAATGTTACGTTCGTAAGCAACGCTAGATTCGCATACAAAACAATTAGAGCAATTTCAGAAGATGAAGTGAACACAAATTAGATTGAGTTTGTGAAGTTTTAATCTCTTCAAAAATTAGGGGAGAAAAATGGAAGTGTTAAGGAAATCCGGGGAAGAATCAAATGTAGTTGTAGAAGATTTTGCGACAGAATTTTCTGAACTAATGGGGAACGATCTGCATTTAGCATTTGTACTGATACAAATGTGTTATGGGCATATTAGAAAAATAGCGTAAAACGTAGCTGTAATAAAATTTAACCATTAGCCTCAAAACCTGCAAGTATTTGTTACGGCGATTATAATTTTGAAATTGCAATAAGACCAGTTCATATCCCGTGTGGAAGGTAACACACAAGGCCATTGAGCGTGGGGAACTTTGGAACGGGAGTATAACATTATCAACTACCATGATTAATTAGTAAGTCCAATGTCAGATACTGAAATAATGTATTTAAACAAAGCTGGACATGAAAGAAATGTTCAACACATTAAACTATTTTTAAAACAGCCTACAGCGTCGGCGAGGCCACATATTTCTAATATTTAATACATTTAAGGAAATATTCAAGTAATTAGATATTATAGATTGCATATTTAAGAACTAGTAGGCGAGCACAATAGTGCCCATGTTTGTCCCATGACCAAGCAGAGAATCTCGAATGAGAAAGAGATATTTCACTGACAACCTGAAGTGTGATGCGCCCTCATGCACTAACGAGCAATTTGCTAGCAAACCTCTTTTCGCAGTCGTGTGCTAGCGTCAGACACTCGGGAATAGAGAGTATACAAGACTTCGAGCATGGTAGAAATAACACCATAGTGACGTTCAAGCTCCCGATTGGGTGAAACCATCAACAGCTAATACCTGCCAGGGGCAGATGTGCGAAAATTGCAGTGTAGATGAATTTTAGCCGACACGCAATGAGAGGCCAGCTTGTAACAACGCGCCGAATTAAATCACTTTAAAATTGATACAACCCTCGTTTCGCTCAACGGGTCACTTGTAACATCAATACAAAAATTAGGGTACTTTACGAGGGGATGCTCAGCATCTTAGCGTTCCCCGACGCTGCGCCACTGGTGTAGTGTTTTGCACTCGACGACCGTAGCTCGTGCGAGACATGCGAGAAGGGAAACACTCTAACTGCGCATGCGCAGTTATTACTCGCGCAACTTTTCTTGAACGATGACCTTGCTTCCCCCTCTGTGGCACAATAAACAGATGAAGGCAAAAGCTCGCAGCGAGCACTAATGACAATATTCCAAACACATCTTCACTGGCGCGAAATAGAAACAATTTTAGTTTGAAGACAAGAACGTCTATCCAAAAATCTAAATAAAACGTCTATCCAAAAATCTTCTCCAAAAATCTAAATAAATTACCAAAGCAGGTAAAGATCTATTACAGGAGATACTTCGAGCACCTGAGAAAGTTAGAACGCAAATTATTGAGAACGTTGCGAAGGCATGACTGATTCTCCAGAGATTGGCATTGCTTTATAAAATCAAGTGGCCAATTTCGTAACTAATACTCTATCGTAACTATCGTTACTTCGTAACTAATACTCTATCCGCATTTCTTCAATCCATCGTTCAAGAAAAGTTGCGCGAGTAATACTATCTCTTGGGCTTTTTTTGGGCTCTCGCTTCGCTATAGTTGCGAGAGGAGTGGAGGTCTGTTATTTTCACAAAAGGAATTTTATATCCAACTGATTCGTTCATTTATTGACGCAAAATAGTTTCTATTACATGGGAGAGAACATTTCTGGTTATCAGATTTTGTCTAAAACTCTCGTTGCTATTATTTATTCTTAATTCAACTAATTTTGACAAAAGAGTGGGGGTAGATATTCCGAGGCTCAAGAAAACGTGCTTCTATAATCCCGTGCACGTACACTATCGCTGTTCAGAAAACGTCCGATAGCATAATGGGAGCTAGGGATTGTAAACACCCAGAAATCTCTTTTGAGTGCATTAGTAATTTGTTACTTTAGCTGTCTAATGTGTATGTCTTACACGAAATGTTAATATACTTTTT